CAGCGGCAGCAACAGCCGCAGTAACAACAACAAACAGCAACTTGAAGCAATTACAACAATCAACGTTCGCCGCACGATAAGCGATAGCTGCAACAACAATTCAAGCATGTGTGTGTGTGTGTGTGTGTGTGTGTGGCTTACCCAAGTGCTGGCCCACAATGAACCGCGATTACAAGCACAAAACCGAGGGCCCAGCTAACAACAACAACAACAATGGGCAATAAACGGATCTGAGAGCGAGGCAGCAACGTTTTTGATTGGTGACTGCCGCTGGGGTAAGCTAATGAATACAAGTATCTCATAGACACACACACACACACACATAAACACTGTGTGTGTTTGTATGCATATGTAATGCTACTTAAGTGCCGGCTGCCAACAGACTCGACTCATTTTGTTTATTAATTTAAAAATGCAACAGCCAGCAAAAGCCATTGGCAACATATGCGTACAGAAACAACGAGCAAGAAAAAGAGATCAAGAAGAAGCAACAAATATTAAAACAACAGCAAGAACAAGAACAACAACCACAACAGCAACAATTCTTGGCAACATTTGCTGTTCAAACGAATTAGTTGAGTTCTAGGCTCAGTTGGCGGTTTGTGTCTTCGCTAAATTTTTCCAGACACATTTGCTTTGCCTTTTGATTAATTATGTTAGTTATGCGACTTATATTTGTTCTCATCCGCTTGCTTAGCTCTTCACACTTATATTTAAGTAAGCTGTGTTCCTTCAAGAGTCTTATACTAGGATTTTCATGTTCTATAACCGATATTTGGAGCTTGAAATAAAGCGAACAAGAGTATAAGACTTGTGTTCAACTGTGTATAATAAGTTAGAATAAGAAAAAGAGTAAAATAAAACAAATTCAAGTTGCAGCTAGAGCAGGAGCAAGTATAAGAGTTAAAATTAGAGTAATACATATATTAAAGAGGACTGGCAGATGCAATTAAATACATATTTATTTATATAAATTTAAATTTCTTTAAAAGATTTCCTAGTTAGCAATCTCATTTTATTCAAGTAAAAGCAAAAATGGGCAGTTGTCAAGCCCCAAAGCCCAAATTCCAATCAGTACGCACATATACAAAAATACATTAATACATATGTATGTATGTATACATACATTTATATTTACATATATGCATACATCTGTACATATGTACATATTTACATACAAACATTTACATCTGCGTTATGTACATCTCAGTGTTCGTCATGTCCCTCTATCGCGTTATTCGAATACGCCGTTACGAATCGTCAGGCACATGGCCAATTTCGAAACTGCGACGTTTCGTCGTTCGCTTTTTGGGTTCTTAACGATATGCGACAATTTCTGACCCCAAGAGACCAAAATGCGAGTACAGCACGAGCAAGAGAAGGCAAGAAGCACGAGAGCATGAGAAGCGACGAAGCCGAAGGCAACGCTCGAAAACGAAACTGAAAACCAAGCGATCGAGCGAACGGTTGAGTTGAATGAAGAGAGCGGGAGGGGGAGAAGCAGAGAGTGTGAGCGGGAGAGAGGCGTCGCACACAGCTGCACGCATTACGCCACAAATTTATTTGGATTGGGGTTGGGTCAAAATTTAAATATTTCAGCGCCAACAACAAAAACAACGTCAACTGATTTTTCGCGTTTCGGGCTCGTTTTACTTGATTGCTCGAACGAACGAACAAACGGTTCTTCATCGATCGATCGAATCGATCGCTGCCCCAATCTACGATTTTGCCTGCATATTTGTTGTCTGTTCTTCTTCTTCTTCTTCTTCCGCTGTTGCTTCATCACAAATAAATACAAATGTTGGTTGGAAATTGTTTTCAACTTGGTCTTGAATTGACACCCCCCTCTCCCATTACTCCACTCGCTCGCACACTCTTGACAAACACATTCCCCATTTATAAATTTTTATTGCCTGATTGAGTTGACTTGGGCTGGGCTTGGCTTCAATGAGGGTTCGTTTTTTTGGGCTTATCGAGGCGATAGAACCGGGCAAAAACGGCAACAGTTACGATCGTTATGAACGGGCTCCCCTTCCACACAGTCTAGCTGCTTGGACGCCCCTCCCCGCTGCCCCTTTTCCCTTCCACACCCTGCTGACTGTTCGTCTTGCGCTCGAATCGATTTCTGACCTGTGTCAATATTTATTGGCTTTATTTACAGCCAGAGCCGCTTTTGGTATTTGCATTGAATTCGTGATTAATTTGCCTGATAAGCAGCAAGCCGTATGAGAGCCATGGGGATAGGTCTGGTATTTCCGATATTACCTAATTGAACATTGAAAAGAAAATCATTATCTCATGCAATTAATTCAATATTTTAATCATTTATTTTGATCGCTTCCAGGAAGGGTTCATTATCACTCAATTCAAAATAGCTGAGATTTTTACTCGAAATTATTCCTTCCAATCACCGATTTCTATCTTCCTTTTGTTATGTACATCCATCATTCTCTGACTCATTCTTGCCTTCGTAACATAGGCTAATCTACATGCTCTTCATTTCCATACCAAATTCATTATTCTAACTGATCCCTCCCCTCCCCTGCTCAAGCCTTCTCACCTATGTATCTCGTACACACATTCGTATAGCAAGCGCATGGAGAATTTCAACAAACCGTTTTATTGCCGCTCAATTAACGGCGCAAAGAGCACAAATGCCAAAGAAGTAATAATAAAATATAAGAGTCAAAAATAAAAATATTAAAGCTCATCTCGCACATTCGAAAATTTAATCAGCAGTAGAAAACAAATTCCGCTTGCATGACTTTTAATTTGGCTTGAAAGCAAATGCAGAAGAGAAGAGGAAAGAGGAAGCATGCAAAGGCTGCAACGGAAACGTCGAGCGCTCCCTCTGTCTGACATGCGTGTGAATGAGAAGGAAAGCTTTGGGCTTACGGTTTTCTCTCTCTGTTCTCTTCTTTTATTTTTGCCAGAATTGATCATCGCAACATTTGTGCGGGCACGTTGTTGTTGTTACTGCTGCTGCTGCCCCTTGTGCCCTGTGTATGTGTATGGGGCAAGCCGAGGGCCAGAATATATACAGAATACATTAATTGACACTTGGCCGGAAATAGTTCATTAGGCATAAATTACATACAGACAAAAGCCACTCTCCTCTCTCCCTCCCACACTCACTAGATTATTCTGTATTCTTTTTTTTGCTAGATTTCAGCGGCTTAAATGACTGCACGGGAATTCTGTCGTTATCGCCGTTTCCAATGGGCAGCGTACAAAACGTTGCAAGACACAAATGTTGGGCATTAACATTAAACAAGACTCGAGATATGCTGACACACACACACACACACCAACAGGCAGAGCCACATACACATGCATATGCATGCGTACACAGTAAATCTGCCTCTCTTCTGGTCTTTATCTATGCTCGCTCTTCCTTTCTCTATCGCACTGTCGTCGTTTTGGTTAGACTCAACATGTGTGCTCCAAATGTTTTTTGTAAGTTCTTACAAGAGCCTGGAAGAGACTGCGCGACTGCGCGACAGCGCGACAGCGGCTGCAAAACAAGGCAACAAAGCGCAGACGTAAAGTAAAGCATCAGCGAATGTAAAACACACAAAACAAAAACACAAAGTGGGCATATTAATAAATTCAACTAAAACGCAATTGAACGCGACCTCAGACATACAGGCACAGACGCAGACGCCAACGTTGTCGCCGTCGTCGTCGACGTCGCCACCAGCGAACCAAACTAAAGAGAACCATCATTAAGCGGGCTCAAATCGGCCGCGCTCCCCAACAGTTCCCTCCTACAACACTCACTCACACACACATGCGCATAATATTTTACTCATTCCCCTTCTTAGAAACAGCAGACAGTCGAATGCCGTGCAGCAACGAAATGGAAAATGGAATAAGTGCAACAATTGTAGAAGAGGGAGCAGCGGACCTATGTACAAAGTAGCCGATTAATGAATGCAGCCTAAAAGGGCGGCATAAGCATGCAAGCAAAATGCCCTACACCCATTAATATGTAATTTAAACTCATTTGCATATTTGCATATGTATATTCAAAAGCTAATTGGCTGAAAATTATATACTCACCTGCTATTAATCACATATGATTTTATACATATTTATGTAGTATACATATGTGTACATATGTTCTGTATATTTTAGGACAAATATTTCTATATTTATTTATATACAAACCACAAGCTACGAAGCTTTCCTAAAAACGTTGACTATTAATTCCACAATGCCTTATCGCTTAAGTGTAGGGCATTGCATATAGAACAGTTTGCCCATCTCCAACAATAACAGCGCGAAGTAGAATCGACGGCAGCTACTGAAAAACGTCAGCGATGCAAACGCGTCAACGGATTTTTGTGTTACACATAATTCCAGTGCTTGATTTGTTTCAGTGTGTGCGTGTATGAATGTGTGAGTGACGTTGTCGTCTCCGTCGCTCTTCTTTTTTGCGCTCATTCTTTTGCTCGCTTTTACTTTCTGTTGTTGCAATTAAACGGCGTTTTTCCGTCTGAACACCAGTAAGACGAAAGAGAGAGAGAGCGAGAGCCGACGCGAGCCGAGCTCAGCCAACGGCCTGGACTGCTCTTTGAGCGCATCGTACGCTATCGTTCGTGGCGGCGACGTCGGCGCAGGCGTCGATAACGGTAATGCCGCCGCGCACACACGTTGTGTATTGGCCCAGGCAGCGACGCCGAGCACAATTGTCCGAGAGAGAAAGACAGAGAGAGCGAGAGGCAGAGTGCGCGCATGTTGAGCGCGCGTGATTTTGTGGCTCTTTCGCCTGCGCCTGGGTCTTTATTTGTGGCTCGCGTGTGTGTGATTGTGTGCGTGTGTGTGAGTCGTGTTTGTGTTTTTATACCCTTGCGCTGAGCATTCGAATTCTATGACGAAGTTTAACAATTGCTTCGGCCTCACTCAAATGCCGTTTGCATGACAAAGTCGCTCAGAGTATTTAGTGTACTGCATGCGAATGTGTGCGCTTCTTGTATGTTTTGGCTTCGCATCGTGAAATGCGGGCTTGCTGCTAGCAGCGCTGCTGACGTCGTTGCCATCGACGTTGTCGTTGTCGTTGTTGTCGCGGCCGTCACAGCTCGCGGTGGTTGTTATTTTTTTGGTTTTGGTTTTTAGTTGCTGTTTAAACTTGGTCGTGAGAGGGTAGCAGCCCCCGTCGTCAACCATTGCCACCCAAACGATCGCGCGCTGGCAAAAAGCAACAAAGTAAAGTGAATGTGATAAGTGAACTTTGGGTCAAGTGAACAAAGTGAATCTGGCTGGCGCGCTGGCCAACAAAAATAGATACAACATTAACCTACACATATTGCAAAAAATTCTAATGGCGCCCGCTGCCGTTGTTGCCTCGTCGGGCACCTCACCCACCACAACGAATTCGCTGCAGGACATGAGCGCAGCCGCCGCGGCCATAGCGCTGGACATGAAGCCCAAAGTCGAATTGGCCGTGGTGCCAGCTCAAAAGATTAAGAAATGTGCGTACAAATCCAATGAGACTCTACAAAAAAAACAACAACAACAACAACAGCAACAATGAAACTGTTTACTTCCATTGTCTTTCCAGTGGTGCGCCGTAATGCCTCCGACAAGCTAAAGCTCATCAAAATGGTGCACGACAATCCCATCTTGTGGGACTCGCGCCTGCCCAACTTCAAGGGCGCCGAGGAGGAGAAGAATCGCGCCTGGGAGCACATTGGCCGGGAATTCAATGCGCCCGGAAGACGCGTTGCACGCGCCTTCAAGTCCCTGCGCGAATCGTATCGCCGCGAATTGGCCCACGTAAAGTTGATGGGCAACGGATTCAAGCCAAAGTGGAGCCTGTACGAGGCCATGGATTTCCTCAGAGATGTCATCAGAGAAAGAAAGTGAGTACGAATTGCAAGCGAACAACAAAATCAAAACAAAAACGCGAACAACCCTTAACAAATATGAATAGCAATAATTAGGGTGGACCTAACACACATTTTGCATGCACTTGTTGAAGTACAAATAAAAACTTAGCTTAGAAATAGTTATTTAAAAAATACTTAAATTCATATAATTCAATAAGTACATATTATTATTAATATAATTTAGCTAGTCCTATATTTTATATACAATATTTATTTATTGGCAGACAAAAAATATTGAAATCCATTGATTATTAAGTAATTACTTAAGAAAGAGGTAAAAAAAAAAAAAATACTTAAATTTTTTTGTGGGTATATATCATGTATTTTATTTAGATTCTGTCTAAAATATAATTAAGCTTGCCTTTCTCATACATACATATTTATTGATTTATTTACAGAATAAATATATGTATAAATTATGTTGACTATTAAGTAGTTAGATTTGAATTCATATACTAATTTAAATAACATTTATTATTAAATATATGCATTTAGAATTAATTTTTAGACTCAGCCTAATATAATTTAGCTTGCACTTTTAAGGCTCAGCCTAATGGAATTCAGCTTTGTGCTTCCCAATCGTGGCACACATACATATATATGCATATTAATAGCCTAGAAACTACTGGAAAACCTTGCTCGCAATATATTATTATGATCGGGCTGGGCTTATCGGACTGGGCTCGGTTTACACCCACCTGAATTTGGTCACTTTCCATTTCCAATCATTGAATCCAATCGTGCCTTCCATTGTCTCTGCCCTTTGACTAATATTACAACTGAAGTCGGCAGCGATAAGCGATTGTTGTACACGCATTGCAAGCCGACTCAGACAAAAACAGCAGCAGGCGTAAGTGTGTGTGTGTGTGCGTGAGCTGTGTTATGGGGCAAAGACCAGCTCCAGAGTATGAATAACGGTTCATACTTTTGGTTTTACTAGCAATTTTATATGAAATGAATTGAAACCTCAACTTTAGATTAGCCAGACTTGACTTGGACTACGGCCAAACACACACACAGGCACATGCGTACACATACATACATGCATACATATAGAATTTGAGGTGTTCTTCTTCTTCCATGTTTTGCTGTCTTTTGCATTGCTGTTTACATTCGCCGCGCTGCTGCAGTGCAAAGAGCAAAAAATTCGATTCTAGCCAAAAGTCAGAAGCCAGATGAACGTTTCCTTTGCCACGTTTCAGTGGATGACTCAATCGATCTTGTTTTGAAATTGAAATGATGGTGCATATAATATTCTTATTGTAGGCGAACTATATATACATACACACAAATATACATATGTATATATACAATACATATATGGTACTTATTTGTTGTTCAGTGAAGTGAAACATGGCATAAGGCGATTCAGTTTGTGGGTTTAGCGGGGCGGCGAGCTCTTCATGATGTTCATTCTTGGAAAGCTGACTTCCACTGGATTAGTGGGCCAGTTGAATATAAAGTTTAGTTAGCTAATGAAATAAATATTGAATTCTGATTCAGATAAATATGTATTTTTGAAATACTATGTAAAATATGTATGTACGTAAATGAATTACTTCATTCTTCCAACAGCTGGAATATTGGAAAGCTAGGCTGTAAGCTGGCAGACTGGAAACTTTGCACATTGTCATTTTGTCAATTCTTATCAGAAGAGCAGAATTTTTTAAATATTTTTCTGGTACATTGCTTAGGTTTTATTTTGATTATATTATCTAAATCAAATACTAAAAAAAAAAAAAAATACTTCAGTATAGTTAATAGTATAATAGAAGATCGAGTTAAGGCTTTTATTGTGATCTAGAAAATTAAAAAATAATATAAAAAAAATAATTTATATATTAGTTTACATTTTGTTATGATCCTTAGAACATAAATCAAATAGAATATTCTGTATAGAATATATTCTATATTAGATAATATTACAAAATTAAATATATCAATGTTAAATATTTTTTTAAATATTATACTAACATATTTATTTTTGTTATTTTATATTTTATTCTTATTATCTATATCATGATAGTCCTTTGCCTATCTTATGACGTTTGTAGCCCCTCATTTGTTTTATCTCTGTTGCATTGCTCTGCCATTTTCATGACACGAGCAAAGAGAGAAGCAGACAAATCTCCGCTAAGCCTCTGTAAAAACATCTGCCCAATATACACACAGACACACACACACACACACATGCACACACACTTGCATATGCAAATATGCGAATATACGCGTATTTTGTGCTGCGAAAAAAAAAATCTCGAAAAACGTTGGACGGAAAAAACCAATTCGAACAAAGAAATGACCAGGCTCTGGCCTCACGGCTCTCGGCTCTGGGCTTCGGATTCTGTGGCTCATGTGGAGCAAACAGCCAATTCGCCGTGCCCCTCGCCGCACTACGCTCTATGAGTGGATGTGTGTGTGTGAGTGTGAGTGTGTGGTGTACTTTATGTACATATATTTATATGAAATAAGGCCATTTCCTTTCAATTGACTGTACCCACATCGGCAGCAGCAACCAGAGCTGAGGCAACACAGTCGGCGGCCCCGGGTCCACACATGCCCGCACACACACACACACACACACACACATACATAGACTCTCACACACACATACTTATTTAAATTTTTATTATTTTGAGCTGATAACAGACAACGGAACGGGCCGGGCTCGGGCCCGAGACCGTGGCTTGAGCCATAAAAACAGATCTTGTCCAGAGCGAAAATTATACAACGCTATTGTTGTTGTTGTTTTAGCTATTATTGCTGCTGCTGTTGTTGTTGTTGTTTTTGCTGTCGGCATCGCCACTTGAACCAAAAACAAAATCGAGGGAAGCTGCAAAAACCAACAAAACGCTTTAGCCTTAGCGGCTGCTGCCTCCGCTGCCTCTGCTTCTGCCGCTGATGCTGCTGCTGCTGGTGGTGGCAGAGCGAACGAGCGAGCGAGCGAGCTAGCGAGCGAACCAAACGAACACGAATGCAGCGCGAGCGGCGCGATGCGAGCGCGAATGAGCGCGCTAGAGAGAGTGATAAATTAACGCAATGAGCGGGCAGCAAATATGAAAATGACAATCAGCAGCAGACGGGGACAAAACGAAGGAAAGAACAAGCGAACGAACGACGATGAGCGATTGCGGCGAGTGGACCAAGTTTAGAAAGAAGCGTAGATTAAAAATGTGTGTTTTTTTTTTCTTTTTTGCGAGAGTGAATGAGAGAGGTAGAGAGCGTGATTATATGAGTGATTGCATGTGTGTGCGTTTGGCTGAGCAATTGAGGCGACGCAGCCAAACGGACCAGGGTTAAAAATAAGTACACGAAGCGAACAGCCGCCAACGGGGTTGGTCGGTCGGTCGCCAACGGCCAGATGACCAGGGTCTGCGGCGCTCTCTTTTATGCTCGCTCTCTCAGCCCACTCTACCCCCCTCACTCGCTCGCACGCTCACTCTCTCAGTCTGGTCGTGCTCGGTTCTGTGTCACGCTTATGATTTAATAAGCAAATGAGCTGCAAAATTGATGAAATTATTGCCGAGCCAAGCGACCCGCTTACCCCGTCCACGCTCCCGTCCCTCTAGCAATTTACCACACCCCAAGCTCTACGCTCGGGGCCGAGCCAAGCCGAGTCGAGTCGAATCGCCAGCCTGAGTGGCTTGACCAACCGCGCCCCATAAGCATAAAAACGAATCTCAGCTGGTCTCCAGTGGGAAACTGATCACCCAAAAAATGAGAAATACTTTTGCATATGCGTCACTTGAGGCCCCACAAAAAATACTGGGCGTATACCCAATTTACGCAAGAGTGCCACAGTCCACTCGAATGCAACGCAAATGTTATTAAAATATTTACAGCGATTAAGCAATTGTCAACCAAATATTTATATTTTGCAATCGTTGAGCGAAGCATGCAAAATATATGATGGATTGACTGATTGATCAGTCATCAGTATGAGTAACAAAAGAGAAGAGCTATACAAATTTACAATCAAAATTAACTCACAGTTTTGTTTTACTATAGCAAATTCGTGCTGAGTGATCCATAATATAAAGGTCCTTAAAAATAAAAGATAAACCAGAAAAACTATTGCATAAAAAATTGAATAGATTGTGGGATAATATTGTATTATCTGTTTCTTAACCTATCTCTATACATATTTATTTGTATATTAATTTAACCTTATAAATGTATAATATGATAATATATATTATAATAATATTTCTCTATTAATCTTTATTTCTGTTTAGCCAATCTGTCAATCAATCGATTGATCTACCCTATCTCTCTATTTATTTTTTAAGACATCTTCATTGCTATCTATGTACATATATGTTTTATTATATAAATCTTTTGATATCTATATTCATATATATAATATACATGATATGTATCTTAAAAGCGATCCTTGCATGTCCAGCATCAAGGATCTCCTTGGTCGTAAATCTACTGCTACTATTACCAAAACTATATTATTTAAACTCATATAATTTAATATAAATTGTGTTTAAAATAATTTTAATTCAAATGTCTCAAAGTAAAACGCATTTCACAATTATTGTTAAGAATTTCGCGATTATATGATTCTTGGGAAGTCATCACAATATTAACCACAAATAAAAATGTTTGTTGATTTGACTTGACTTGACGTCTTGTCATTCGGTTTGGCTTATCAGAGCAATTCAGTTCAGTGCGGTTCAGCTAGGCTAGACTGAGCTGAGCTCAGCTAAGAGCGGAAACTTGACCATTAGTCAGTCGTTAGCGCTGATAAACCGACGAAATGGGGGAACACAAAAATTGGAATTCCTCATAGAGAGCTACGCAATTAAATAGAAATGCAAACTGTCCATCCACTGGGTTTTGGCTGGGTTCTGGGCCCTGGCGGAAACAAACACTGATAAGACTTGGGAAATAAACGAAAAATAAACACAAGAGAACCAAATGAAGGAGAACCGCAGAAACCACAAGCAAATAGCAAACAGCGAACGTTTCTTCGGCTCTGTGAACATGTGAAAATCCATTTGGCCCTGATTATGTGGAAAATGTGAAATATGTTAAATGGAAAATGAGAAATGAAAAAACACAAAAAAAAAATTGGAAAGATGGAAAATGTGAACGCATATCATTTTACAGTTCCAATTGTCAACTACCTGCCCCGGAGGCCCTAACAGCAAAGGGAGCTCCGTCCTGGCAACTGGGCCCAAGCCTTGGCCCAGCCACAATTTCCCTCTTACCCCCGTTTCGCCTCGCCTTGGGTTGGTCTAAAAATAGCCACGTCTCGCTGCATTCGAGGCATTCAGGCAGCTGTGGAAAATGCGCCTGAAATTTGAGTAGCACAAGAAACCAGCCCCGAAGACTAAAACCAAAACAGGAGCCAGACCCAGAACCAGAACCAGAATCAGAGCTAAAACCAAAGCAAAAGCCGAATCTAGCGAAAAACATCACGAGTTTTTGGGTAGTTTCGAGTTTTGTTGCTTTCTTTTATTTTATATTTTGGGGGTTTGTTAGAGCACGTTCCTGTGATTCGAATTGTGTCTCTTTGGGGTTGCTTGGCCCCATTGTAGAGTTATTTTTAGAACAGTTTTACAACTAAGGAGAGAGAGAGAGAGAGGGAGCAATGAGGTTCTGATACATGTTATGTAGATCAACGAAAAATGAAATAAGTATGTATATGAAATAGTATTCTAATGTGGGAATATAGAAGACAACTTAGCTAATTTTGATATTTATCATATTTATCTGAATTTGTCTACAGTATACTAATAATAATTATTAATTAAGATTTTGCTCCCTATTATTAAATCCTATATATATTAGTAGGCCATGGCATTTCATTAGTAATATTTGTCATTATTCTATAGCACCTAAGTAGGCATCCGAATAGTTATTATAGAAACATTTATCATTTGTGATTTATTCGAACTGTTCTACAAAAAGCAAACTGCAAAAAGCATATATATCTTTATCGAAAGTTTACATAATCTAGAGCTGCGATTCCACCTAATATGCCTAGACGTCATTCCAAGAAGTATAAGCTGTAAGATTAATAATATTATTTTCTATATTGAACTATGGTTCTTAGTTCGTAGCTAATAATAACTATGCAGACTAATATATAACAAATATTTATGTATATGGACTATAAATATATAAAATAAATATAAAATATACATATAGATATATATACATCTATGTATATTATTTGGTGTCTTTATAAGTCGGATAAATAACCGCATAATTGTAATTTATTAATTAAATTTAATTTGGTTCCTATCTAAGGCATTAGTGTTCGGATATATTCTTTAGATTGTAGATCGGAATATATGCGTATTGGCTGATAAAACGACCATGCATATTTATCGTTTATCGATAGTCTTGTTATAGTTCTAGACCAATTATATTCCATATAGATGAATTAGATTAGTTGATAATATTTACCATGAGCTCCATTGAGTAGTACCGATTCTACTAAGTCTGTTAAAAACTTCTCTTCTCCGTCTCTTTATTTTCCTTTTTTTTTTTCTTACCCCTTTGCCACCTACTACATTATAACTCAAACTCTCTCTCTCTCATTCACTCTCTTTCTAGGGGCGCTTCGCATACTGGCGATCTCAGTTTGAGCGCATTTGCTCATCACTTGCACAATAACAACAACAACAACAGCAATAATAATAACAACAACAATACAAGCAATAGCAACAACAACAACAACAGCAGCAGCAACAACAACAACCATCACAGCATTTTGAGTGGCAGCAAAGCAGCAGCCGCAGCCGCAGCCGCAGCTGCAGCCGCTGCCGCTGCCGCCGGTTTGAAGTCGCACTCATCCTTCATCGATGCATCGGAGGCTGCACTGAATCTGTCCAAGTGCTCGGGACTGAATTTGAGCCACGATGATTACTTCTACGATTACAATGTAAAGTCGGAGCTGGATTTGTCGGCTGGCGGCGGCGGTGGGGGCGGGAGAGGCGCTCGTAAAGCGGGCAGCAGCAGCAGCAGCAGCAGCGGTGGCAGCGCCGGCTTAGGCTTGCGCTTGCCCTTGCCCATAGCGATGCCTATGCTGCCGCTGCCCGCCCACCAGCACCAGACGCTGGCCACGGCACAGGCCATACACAATGAGAGCCGCGTGAGCTCCACACGCAACGACAGCGCCGCTGCCGAGTCGAATCATCAGCGGAGCTACGATGATCTCGATGCCAGCTCGATGCGTAGCGGCGACGAGGATGCTGGCAATGCCTCCGATGAGGTGGAGGAACTGGAGGCCATCGATGCTGACTTTCCCTATCCCATCATACTCGACTCGAATTCGCCGGGCAGCGATAATGGCGGCAGCGGCAGCGGCGATGCCCAGACGCCCGTCAGTGGACGCAAGCGACGTCGCGCTGCGGAAGCGGAAGATCTGGATGATGAGGGCGACATGGATGGCGATGACTATGAGGATCAAATGCTGCAGCAGCATCGCCACTTGCGCCAGCAGCAGAATGTCACAGCCGGTGAACTGGATATGCCGCCGCCGCAGACGGTGCGCGAGGTGCTCAACTCCAAGTTCTGTGGCTTCATCTCGGCCAAGCTGAACAGCATGGAGGACTCGGAGGCCGATAATCTGATGAATCGCATACTCCTGCTGGTGGTGCAAATGCAACAGTGCGAGACACCCAAATAGGCGAAGAATGTGGAATCAAATTTGGGTTTGGGGTTTCGGGTTGGGCTTGGGGTTCGGGTCGGGTCGGGATTTTTTTACTAGTTTATAAGTAGAGGAAGAGCTCATTATGGATTAATGCAGCTGCTCAAAGCAAAACGTTTTCTTGCCATTTACCAAAATGTTTCACAAATCTGTACTCTCAATATGCCATAAATCATGCCAAAATTGTGCCATGCCAAAAAAGAAAGAAAAAAAAAAAAAAAAAAACACGAAAATATAAGAATTAATGGAAGACTTCTTTAAAGCTATATCCCAAAAAGAAAAGAAAATAAAGAGAATGAAATATACAAATGTATGAACTCAATGAAAAGACACAACAACAAAGACAAAGATAGTTAGCCATATATGAGATTTAGTTTATTATAAACGTTAATTTAGTTCTAAGTGGATCTAACTATATATACATACATATATACATATGTAATTGTCTATATATGTCTATATTATAAAACTGTTTCAGTTTGATTTCTAGCTCTCTTCAACATTTTTTTTTAGTTCTACCTATATATATCTAAATATTATCTTAGCCAACGTCTCATCACATGTTATCTTATAGTTTCTCTTCTTTTGAAGATAGTTCTTAACTCCAATCATGAAGAGTACAAAACAAGAAAATTGTATAAATACTTTGGAAGTTCTACATAAAGTGGCAAATACATATTAAATATATTATTTCATATACATTTACCTTAAACTCTATTCTTAGTTACTCAATAAATCATATTTCATTTTAATATCATTTCTCTAATACGTTTGCAAAGCGATGTAAATATTTATAAATGAGAAGTTAAATAAAATATACATATTAAAGTTATTAAAAATTGTTGGGAATATTGTGAGCAAAAAACAAGGTTACTTTGAAAAATATATATATATATATATTTGTAAATATATTTAAATTATATTTAAATTATTTACTAAACAAATAATATATAGCTAGAAAAAATGCGAAATAATTAAATAAAATTATAATAAATAATAAAATAATATATAAATAAATAAATAAAATAAATAATTAAAAATACTAAATAAATAAATAATTAAAAATGAAATATAAATAAATGATAAACTAAAATACATACATATAAAAAAAATTAATAATTAAATAAAAAACTTATAAATACAATAAAAATGAAGGAAAAAATAAATAAATAAAAGAAAACAAAAACTTAAATAAAATAAAATGTAATTCAAAATAATTTATTAATTTTACTATAAAGTTATTATTAATAAAAAAATAAATAATAATAATAAATTAAAATACATACATATAAAAAATGTAATGATAATGAAATACAAATTAAATAAATACAATGAAAGTGTAATAAAAAAAAAAAAAATAAGTAAATAAATAATTTAATAAAAAAAATTAATATATAGTAATTTATTAATTTTACTATAAAGTTATTAACATTATTATTATTATTATGCTAATTTCGCCATTATCCCAAATTAAATTCTTATATTTTATGTAGAGTATTATTATTAATTTATACATCACAAGCTGCTTAGTTTTGATTTCCATGAAGTTTACCTATTCCAACTGCTCTTCTAACTCATCTTTATTTTGTCAAATCATTTTCAGCCCTTGTCAATCATTTAGCCATCTATCTTATCTGCTGACGTTACTTACCATCTTCACACAGAAATTTGTGTTTATCTCAAAATATCATTAAACAAGCCAGACTATTAGCATATCTCACACATATGGATCGGCTCTTTAATGGTTTCAACCATGACAAACTCACACATTTGGCCAGATGTCAGGCGCACACAGATGATAAAGAGAGTGAGAGAGAGAGCGAGAATGAGAACGACATAGACCCGCAGGACAGGACTTGGTACGGAAGGCGTCATAAAAACCAGTCGACAAATGAGACAAAAGATAAGCCCAGCAGCGCATGCGCCATGGGACAGGCGAGGTGAGGGGGGTAGCCAGATGTGGGTATGATATAGACCAACTTAGCAAGAGGCCCTCAAAGAGACACGGCTCACTCATGAATGAAGCGGATGGGAAAACGGCGAGAACAATACGGCTGCTGCTGCTGCCAAGATGATAAAACAACCCTCAAAATGCCAGGTCGACACGATCTGGCCCTTTAGACGGGTCACGTCGCGGCACGGTATGGTACGGTACGGTATGCTCTGCTACCTAACAAACCGAATGCAAAAAGTACTTTGGATATGCGCGGAAAATTGCCAAAAACTGGTTTCATTCAGCATCAGCTTATTGTGTGTTAGCCTTGGTCGAGAGCGCCGCTTAGGGGATGCTGCTGTGCGGGTTCAATGACCATGGCCAGCAGCAAGCAGCCAGCATCTAAGGGTACGGCATTGGTACAGCTCACAGGCTTCCTTTGAGTCAATCAAATGTTTGGTTTTGTCAGAGATTTGCTGCACTCGGCAATGATTGAATGTAAGTTGAGAACTAAATGAGTATATGAAATGAGGTCCATTAAAATTTGAATATTACAAAGGGGAATGACGTTTGGAGCTGGATAGCTTTGATTTTGTTTATGTTATATAGACTTCATTTATATTGGACTTAATCATGCGGAATATTCATTGATGTAGATATAGATGTAGTTGTTGATATAAGATCCAACACTTCCACTGCTTCCGCTTCTATGAACTACGTACGACTAGAGTTTTAACTTTAATATTATTTTAACTTATATTCAATAATCAGTATATAACTGACTTTTATTGTAATATTTGCAATATGTTCAAGAAGTGAATAATGCAAGACTAGTATTACAATATAAATAGTAAACATTACTAATAGATCCTGGTATTGGAGAAGGTGAATATCTTTTAGACAGTCCCCATATATGTTTAATGGCCTTTGTAAACCCTAAGATAAAAGATTTAGACTTTTATTTGATTCTTGATTTAACATATAACTAAAACTCATATCCTTTTATTATTCCTATACTTTCATGTATTCTCTCTCTTATAACCCACCCTAAATTTAAACATTGAAAAATATAATATTTATTTTTATTTTTCATAGCATATATGCACACATTCATTACGCTTTACTTAACAGCCCTTTATAAAATAAAAATATGGAAGCTATCTAGAATAATCGCAAGCTATCCTAAAACATTGTCAAAGTCAGTGAAGACATTGCTGAACTTTGAGAGTGTTTTAAAATAACTTAGGATCATAAATGGAATCGCTTTACTTGCTTCCAGAGCTACGAGCTCAAGCCATTGCTTCCGTAGCAGCGTTTTGACCATCATCTTTGGGCCTACTAATTTGATTCCTCTCTTTCTTTGGAGCATTTTGATCTTCCACTTGGGTGCGCAGCGTTGAGCAGATCAGCTTATAGAATCGACGCCCGAACTTTGTGTTCTGAAGCGTGCCATATTTACTGGAAGAGCTGGGATAAACTGGATAGCTATTCTTACACTTCTCATACGATTTGCTCGTGCTGAGCTGAGTTGCTGGCTGACTATAGAGGGAGCAGAGTTGAGCATAGGATTTGGACTTCATATTCATGCTGCTCTGTTTCTCAGTCACTGCGGTTTTCTTTCTCTCTCTTTTACTACTTGTTTTGCAGTCTGCTTCGCAGTCGCATTCATTCTTTTCAGGCCTTTTAGGCTTTTCCGACTTTTTGCGCTTTTTAGGCTTTTCAGGCACTTCAGGTTTCTCAGGAACTTCAGATTTCTCAGGAACTTCAGGTTTCTCAGGTTTTTCAGGCTTCTCAGGCACGTCCGACTCCTCCTCACTTGGAGCGTAGCCGTGATCATAAATGTTGTCTGATCTCGTTGGGTTGATAAAACCTCCGCAAATGGAGCTTACGCCCAGCAGGGAATTCGCTGTGGCTCGTAATTGTGCGATTTCGGTATCATCGGAGTATTCGTAACACAAGTTGGGCTCACTTTTGAACTTGTACTTCACTCTCTTCAAGCAGCCCACTTCGCTGCGCTGTGACTTGAGGCAGGATTTCCTTGTGCATTTGATGGGATTCACCGAGATCTGTTGACCCTCCTGATAGGTGTGACAGGACTTGCAGACTCTCATATTGGAGTTGTTCTTGGCACAAGTTCTTGACATATTATGGGCTGGCGCGCATGATTTGTTTTGCTCATTGGAGGCATTGTTGGGGCACAGCATTCTAGAGCTCTGCGGACTGGTTCGACCGGCCGAGTCTCGAGCTCTAGCTTGCTGGCCCGATGGGTCCTTGCCTCCATTGCAGCACATGCATTTCTTCCTAACTGGATCAGCAGGAAGATTGCTCGAGCTTTGGGTGGAACGATGCGAGCTAGTTCGACTCTGCCTGCTGCCAGTCTCACTCCTGGAGGCCTGCAAAGGGGAGCCTCGCGGCGATTCCTTGACTCCATGCCGCGATCTCTTCGACTCCTGCTGATGGTGCGAGTTCTGCTTATCCTGGGCGGCAAATTGTTGCAAGGTCATATGCTTGATACTGCTAGTAAAGGGACTTAGCATTGTGGACATCAGCGGACTACGCCGACTGAAGTTCTGAGCCCCATTGTTGGGCTTGTTCAATCTTTGAGCATTGAAATTCTGATGGGATGTACTCTGGCGACGTTTCTCCTTTTCTTTTTCCGGTGGCTGAGCTCTCGAGTTGGTTAGACTGTTTCGCGACGATGTGGCGGGCTTCTTGGACTTCTTCGAATTGTTTTCCTGTTGGGCAGCAGTGTTGCGCTGAGAGTTAGTTTTGGAGCTCCGTTTGCTGGCCTTATGGGGATCACTCAACTGTGAATTGCTAAAGCTGGAGGATTTGGAGGCTTTAGCTGATGATTTGCTTTCCCTATTCTTCTTATCCTTATCCTTTTTATCTTGCTTATTCTTGGCTCGTTTCTTCTTCTTCTTCCCCTTTGTTGACTGCTCCTCGTCGATCTCATCTTCGCTGTTGGCGTCGGGATCCCAGATCTCCGAGAGATAGCCACGCTTGCATGCCATCGCAGTGGCTTTCTCCCGGCACACGATGCACTGGCATTCCCTCTCGTGTTCGTCCTCGTTCGAGGAGCGTGAGATGTTGTCGTCCTCCTCGCACTGCCAGTACCGGCGCGACTCGTAGCTGCTGTCGGTCTCGGCACAGAAGCATGCGTCCGCTACCTGGGCCAAGTCCAAGAGTCGACTGCGCAGATCCCCGATGATCTGGCGCTGCTTGCGGCGCACATTGCCCAAACGGCGCGAGTCGCATCGCAGATTGGGCAGCTCGTTGTCCTGCTGATTGGCATCGATGCCCTGGCAGATGACGCGCTCCAGCTCCCGCAGCAGGCACAGGCGCTCCTGCCCGGAGGACGTGGTAATTTGTCGCAAGCGAAACTGTATCCTGGCATAGTGCGAGGATATGGAGAAGAGGGAGTCCTGCAGGCTCTGCACATCGTCCTCCAGCTGGCACTCGTATTCCGTTAGCTGGCGGCTCATCACCATGCCTTCCTCATTGATCCATGTGTAGCTGCGCGAGCCTTCCGTCCGGGGCTCCGGCTCACTCACACTGTCAACAGATCGGTTCGGCTTCTGCCAGCACCATTTCATTGTTTCTGTTTGAGTATTTCGGGGCTTTCAGTATTTTGGGGTAGTAGCTTTTTGGGCTGGGCTTGAATTTTATCTCCATTTAGCATCGAAATTTTGATAGGAACCGAAAAATCATAAATGCCAAATTCTGAAAACCCCTTCAGGTTCCACATAGAGTAAGCCTTGCCCTGTCACTTGAACGTAGCCTCGTAGCCCAGTCCCGTGCATGAACCGTGTATGAGGGAATACCTTGGGATATCTCTGTCTTGAGAAAGTTTAAGAAGTTTTCTTTCTCAAAATAAGAAAAAAAAATAAGTTATAATATATAAAGTACTAATATAAAATATTAACATATAATATATAACAATTAAGTATTAAGCTAAAAATAAATTATATAAATATAAATTATAATAAATAATTTATAAAAATGAAATTTTTAGATAAGAATAATATATAAGTGGAAGATTTTGGTACTTCTCTCAACATTTTTTATGTCCAATAAATATCTGTAGTAAGGTATTAATCTTCAACTGATTTTTATAACATCTACATTTAATTTTTATTATATATTTAATAGAGCTTTAGCAGGGCATTCAATATATCTTATCCATATCTAAACTAAATCCTATTCATGTCTAATCCCAATCAAATCAAAATCAACTTCAAATATAATATGTTGCATATTTTTATAAAATATACCATCATAGATAGTCCTGTGCATCTTTAGTTTCAGAAGTATCTCAAGGATCTTAACTTCCTACTCACAAATACTTTTTTATTGTCCCGTGAGATAATTTAGTATTTTATCAATGAGCTGGATTTCTAGCTTCTTAATTAAATTGATTTAAATATAAAATATCATCTGTGATTAATAAATGATATCTACGTATCTTAAAGATACTTTTCATACTTTTGTATCTGCTAGATACCAAGTGCAGCCCCTAGCTTATCTCTGTTGCCTATCTATTGCATTTCGTCTCTTTCTCTGCAGCCCCATAACTCGATAATTATTCATATTGATTCATTACAATAATGAGCTTTTCATCTTCTTCATGCACGTCAATAATTAGGTTGTGTGCATTTCTTGCGACCTGCCGCAGGTGTTTGACCAAGTTCAAGCTGTAAGCTCGACGGCAGCTACTGTTGCAGCTGCTCCAGTTTCTGCTGCTCTCCATGCAACATGCAACAGAATATGCCACGAAATGTGCAACAAGCTGAAAAATTGGCAGTTGTAATCAATGCCCGGTCCATCGGGCATACCCCGTGTCACGCCCACTGCCAGGCTGGCCTAACGCCTCCGCTGGGCGCCAGTGCAGAGCACACTAAGCAAATTTCATGTAGCCAAAAGATTTTAGTCATGTTGCGAGCAATTGATTTGGGGCCAGCTCCATGCGCGAGCGAGCGAGAGGGGGAGGGAGAGGAGTACGCTACGCATTGGAATGGAACAGCGGATGAACATGAAATTTTTCGCTTGTGCGTGGTTAGAGCTGGGAAGGGGCATGAATTGGGTGAGGCGAAATGGAAAGCTGATTACCGTTAACAACAATAACAATGACAGCAGCAACAGCAACAACAACAGCTGTTATCAATTTCATTGCATAGTCTGCTTTAAGGCGCAGCCAAAGTACCGCTATAATATGAGCTCACATATAACGGTTATGCTCTGCCGGCCGGCATGTTTTTTCTTTTGCTTTTGCTTTGCTTCTATCTTGAGGCAGGTTCATCATCAGGCAGCAGCAGCAGCTGCTCTTGTTGTTGTTCTTGCTGCTGCCGACAGCGTTTGCCTTTTGGCTTTCGCGCTTCGTTCGTAGCTCGTGCTCGTAAATCGCCGCGTGGCGCCTTCGAGTGGCCGACCGGGCGCGTGCAGTTAGGAATGACAACTCCAAAGTGTCAGCTGCCAGCAATTTGTGGCTTTCAAATGTGGAGCAAAGCAATTCCAGGAGCGCAACAGAGCGCTGTTACACAGACAGACAGCGAGAGAGCGAGAGGTAGTTAGAGAGTGAGTGTGTGTGAGCTGTAGAGAGAGCGCCTATGTTAGGCGCTGCGAACGTAGGTGCTGCTGGAAGTTTTATGGCAACTTCGGCAGAACGTTTTGGCATTGCGAAACATGGGAAGAACGCTTCCAGGCATTTTATGGCAAGCCATTTAAGAGAGCGCTTTTGTTTACTTAAGAGAGCGGCAACTGGAAAGCGGCTTTTGTTTAGATATTTTAAAAATATATGTGTGGGAGCTTAAATAACAAAATTATGAATGCACAAATATATGAAAGCTTCTATTTATTATTATATTTATAAGATTAATTTAAATTTTAATAAATTTAATAAAAATCTGTTTATCGATATATTTGAAATTATTTAGAAGTAAAATAAATATAAATCTATTCATTTAAATTTTTGTGAATAAAGTATACCTATTTTAATTTTATTATATAATTTTTTAAGTAGAATTATTTGAATATTAAAAAATTTGAAAAATATATTTATTTTAATTTTTATAAATAACAAATAAATATAACTGCGATTTTATTTTATTATTTTAAATGCAATATTAATTTATTTAAATTTTCTTTTGCATATGTCAATCGCCATTTCTCTCCAGCAATTCCTCTGCCATCCTTCACAGCTGCTCGCTGTCAAGTGATTGTAAATTCGTATAAATTTCAGAACTGGCCGCACTTTCCATGCGCTTCCAATGCCTTTCCCGAATGTGCAACAGCATGCAGAGCGCCATAAAATTACGAGAGAGAGTGAGAGAAAGAGAGAGCACCAAGGATGCACGCCGTCAAATGCATTACATACGCCCGCTCTCTCACTCTCTCTGTGTCTGTTGAGCTCAAAAACATAACAAATCATTTATAATACAAAGAAAAATAAATGCTACATATGTGAAAGTAATATTTATTATTTTATATTTCATATATAATTTTTTAAATATTTTATAATATTTTTAAAAATATCAATAACAATAAGAGGTATGTTTAAACAACAACATTCGCAGCGGAACACTTTGGCAATGGGTCGAGGCAGAGTTCACGAATGCGTCTAACGGTAGCCGGCGCTTTGTCTCTGTTTTGTTGTTTGCTTTTGGCTAACCATTCGCCTCAGCTTCGTATCGCATTGGAAGCCTTTGACTGTCGCTGCCGCTGCTGCTGCTGCTGTCGCCTCTGCTGGCTGGCTGGCTGGCTGCTGGTCGTCGTCGTCGTCGTCGCCAACGAGTGCAGCGAATTGGGCGAGCTGTGTGCAGTAGTCGCTTCAGTTGCAAACGAACGATTTAAGCGAAAAGTTCGAAAAGTTCCAGCGCCGTGACGTGACTGAAATTTGCAAGCGGCCGAGCGAATCTCTTCACACAGCCTAAAACCCAAAAACTGCGTGTAAATTGAGCTAAACAAAAACAAAGCGAAACACAATTGACTAACAAAAATAAAAGCTAAACGTTTTGGGCGGGCAACGGTAAATGCCAAACCGAAGCAAAGCAAGAGTCAAGCAAATGCGCTTAGCGCCCAAGTGTCAAGTGCAAAACAAATCTCATTGGCTGTTGGCAGCTGTTTTTTTCACGTGTCTCGCACACGAAACAACTCGCAAAGCCGCATCAGCTGTGCCGCTTTATGCATTCGAGCTGCTTGCGGCAGAGCTGCCGGAAAGTGTGCTATGAAAATTTGTAAAAATTAACCAAATTTACAGGCAGACAGAGAGGCAAATACTTTTATGTAGAGAGTCTGTACAACTTGGGGAATTTATGGAGGTTTTTTATAAAAGGTTTTAAACTAGATTTATGCAGGGCAAGGGAAAAGGGTTTCTTCTTAATTGCTAGTATTTTCTTTAACTAATAGACTGTTATTAGAGTTTATAATACTAGTTTGATCAGAAATATATTAGAAAATATAATTATGTATATTCAGTAATATTAATGATATTTTTATTATTATATTACATATAAAAGTCAAGATTTTTAAGTCGTGATATTATAAATAAATATAATGTAGATCTAACAAAACTAATATAATTAGTGGATTTTTAGGTAACTCTTGACATTTGAATGTGGAGCCCCTTAGATAGCTTATTTTGCCAAACAGTTGTAATCGAATTTTATAAAAATTTCGAGTCATTTGATAAACTGGAAGTTATTCTTGTGGCTTTTCTTAGCTTATAAGCTAAACACATTTTTGACAGCTTGATATCCGCTATACCTGCAGTCAGTTTGTATCATCTCGATTTATTTTTAGCTACATTAAGAGCTTTGTATCAACATTTGAGGCTAGCTGTAAATTCAGAATAGATTTCTTTGTAAGTCAACATTTTGCTGAAGAGATAATGCTAGGCACTAATATATTCTTCTGAGCTTGTTTCTTTAAACCAAAGTCTCGTATATTTGGAATTCTTATTTATATTTATATTTAATTTCCAACAAGCAGCTGCCACGTTTTCTTGCAACTCATAAATAAGTCCAAAGAAAATATATGTATGTATATGTATTTATCAATATGTATCTAAAATACGTGTGTGCAATTCAAGAAATAAAAGCAAGTCGTCAATAAAATCAAAAGGCATAAATCAATTAAAAACAAGTGCGGATTTATTTAAACAATAATAAAAGAAATTCAATTAAATTCGATTCCATTCAATTTGAAGACAACGAACTATTTGTTGAGCTGTTATTTATGGGTAAGTTGAAGCTGAATATAATATTATTAAAAATATTGATATACATTTATGTGTGATATAAATAATAATACATAGAACTTGCAAAAATAAACTTTAATGTAATTTTAAGCTGATTAATAAATAATTTAAATTATATTTAGACTCAAGTTTTTTTAATTTTTTTTTTTTTATTATTTTATATTTAAAGAATGATCAAGTTGATTTATTTTAAACTTTATGTTATATGAATGTGTGAAAATATATAAGGAAATTTTAATTTTTGTTAAGGCTAAAATTAAAATTGAAAACCAAGTTAACTTAGGGTATAAATATAAAAATTATTATATATCAATAAACTATATGAGTATTTATCATTAAACTTATTTGATAAAGATAGCTTACATTTTTCTCAATATACATTTAGTTATTAAAATAAAAAAAAGTAAATCGAGAGTTAGGAAAAATTTTACTTCAATTTAAGCTCCGATTAAATAGTAAGATAGCTTGAATATAAACTGTGTTGCATATAAATATATATTTATATTTTACTTTTATACACATACATACATATACAGCAGCAACAGTAGCTCCAAACGTAAAGCGTCTGCTGAGCTTAATGAAAATACCTGCAGCAACTGCAGCCCAATGTGAAGCGAGCTACCCAAAAAATAAGTGAGAAAAGAACTATATTAAAATACTTTCAGTTGGCAAAGAATGCGAATCATTTTTAGACGAGTTGCAAAATAAAATTTGAAAATAAAAAATAAATGCAAAGGAAAAAGAAAAACAGGAAGAGGCAGAGGCAGAGGCAGAGGCAAAAGTTTTAGTCAGTCAATCAGTCAGAAACAAACAGCAGCGAATGCTGCAATTGCGAATCAACAAAGCCAAAGTGCGAAAAGTATTTTAATTAAACACAAAAACACTTTAAAATGCCAAATGAAAAATAGGTAAGGCGGGGGGATTGATGGGGGAAATGGAGATGGAAAATATGTGTAATTGTAGTGCGGCAGCCGAGGTGCGTCTAGGGAAATTGTTTTGTTTTGCTGTAAGCTGCAGCCTTCGATTGTCATTTGTAGTGGGTGGCAGGTGGGCTGCAGCAGCTCACCTGACTCTAACTCTTCAGGTGAAGTGCGAATTGAAGCGTCGCTCGAGTGCGACCAAAGAAAAGCTCGCTGCTCGAGTGGAAAAGCGCCTTCAAGTGCTGCACAAGATACAAAAGCAAAAGCAAAAGCAGAAGCAAAAAAAAAAAAAAACAAAAATGATGTTGATGGAAATGATGCAACCGAACAGCACAATAAGTGACTACAACAACAACTACAACAACAGCTACAATATTTACAGCAACTACTAGAAGCTGCAACAGCTTTTGTCTGTCCCTTGGCTGAAGAAGCGTACAAAATTCTTGCTGTGGAATTTTGTTTTGTTTTTTTTTTTTTTTTTTTTGCCCAGCATTATGCGAACAAAGGCATAAATATGTCTATGAAAATGGAGAGCAAAATATTGATATGCAGAAGCGTAAAGTGTGCTTACCTTTAAGCAGGTGACTCTGCCTGCTGTCTAGAAATGTGAGAAAATTGAACAAATACCGTTGATGGCTTTAAATAGTATAAAAAATATAAAACAATGTAAAGTTTAAATTTTCTTTTGATTAATTCTGACCTAGTCTGACAGCTGATAATAAAAGCAGCTTCTGTAGTACTTTTTGAATATATACTGCATGTATTCACAAATCTAAATTATTATAGTTTAAGTTAAGTTATTACTTTACATATATAAGACTTTATATCACTTGATTTTTTAAAATATTTAGAGTGTATATAATAAAAAATAATAAAATATATATAAGGATTGTATTCAAATAATAATAAAAACTAAATCAGATAAAAAAAAAATTCCTCTAGAATTTTGTTTACATTTTAATTTTAAAACAATCTTTATATTTATTATTTTTTTATGGTATATACTCTAAAAATTTTTAATAATTTAGAGAATAGAATTATTTTGCATATTTCAATCTTTGCCAAAACTTTATGCTTAATATATAAAAAATATATATTTATAAATATGAAAAATTAAGAAATTAACAAAAAATTTAGATAACAATTTAGTTAGCTGTATTAATAATCAATATTGCGAAACAATCCGGTAAAAAAGCTAAACATAGTTGAATAATTACAGTAGAGAAACATCTGCCAGGCACATTAGTAGGCAAAGAGAGCTAAACATAGTAAGAGACCGAAATATAGATAGATAGAGAAAGAAAGAGAGAGAAAGAGAGAGAAATAGAGCTAGAACGATTACCAATGTCTGGTTGGCGCTTTGTAGTTGAAGTTTATTGAATTTTAAATTGTATCCGCTTAAACAATGCCAAACCAAATAGCCGAAGCCAATAAATTTCGATAAATAAACTGGAAAAACACATTTGGCCCAAAAATTTGCGACTAAAAACTAACGAAAAGCCATAAAAATGTCAGCGAGCATTTCAATTAAAAATTCATGTGAAATTTGTGTTTGGCGTAAAGAAGAAGAGGCAAATTCAAAAGCAAATTAAAATTAATATTAAAGCGTTTTCAGCGTTGCCCAAAAAGCTGCATTTTCTCCCTTGTGTTGAGTGTGCCACGCCCACTAAAATGTTTTTCAAATTATTCACATAATTACAGCAGCTGACGGCAAATCAATTAACGATAATTCTATGCTAGGTTCAAAGGCCCAGAAACTAAAAATAAATAAATAAAAATGAAGCGGAATATGGACTAAAGTTTAGGCGAGAATGAAATATGCTTTAGCATATTAGTTAATTGAGCTCAGTGCTTTTCTTTTATTTAATTATTTATTTAAAACAAATTATATACATATATTGAGTTTATTTTTAAGATTTCGCATTGATGAATTAAACAAAATAAATATTTTTTTTCTATGATTATTTACTATAAATAAAAAAAAAAGATAATAAATATATATTTTTCTAATTTTGTATTTTTTTATTTATATTTTTTATTATTGCATTATAAATAAATGAAAATATTAATAAATACATATATTTATATATACAAATAAAACCATTTATCTATGATATATCTATCTCGATTTTTATTATTTGTCGAGTTTTTGAATAATATTGATAATATAAATATATAAAATATTAGATAAATAAAACAATTGAATATGAAATACATAAATAGTAAATATTTAATAAAATATGCTAAAAACGTTTAAATATATTAATAAATAACATAAATTTTTGTGCTATAGAAAAGCTGAAATAAAATTAAAAAAAAAAAAATGAAAATAAATAAAATAAATTTAACTATTAATTGGTATAAAAATGTCATCCCCCACATCTTCCCTGCTACGCTTATAATACTCTCAGTGAGAGTATCTAAAATAAAAGTAAAAAAAAACCAATACAAATATTAACTAAAATTGGAGTTTTTGTTGTCGTTGCTGCCGTGTTATAAATATTCCCTGACATTTTGTGGCATTTTTGCATGTCAATAATATTTATTGTTATTATTTCAAAAGCATTAGCGTGGTTGACTTCAGCAGAGGGCGGCACAGGCAGGGGGCGTGGCCGGGCTGGGGCTGGACTGGACTGGGCCATGTAGGCGCATTCGTGCTCGCCGTCAGCCGCAAAGTATGCCACAAAAATGTGCAATAATTGCTCAAGGGGCAGGGGCTGAGGGGCAGTGGAGCTATTGGATGTTGGGGCTATGGGCGCTGGTGGCGCTAGATGGCTGACTGGTGGTGTGTAAGGAAATTGGGCTGCTTGTTTTGCGCCTCGTAACGACCAATAATTGTTACAAATCGAAAAACAGCGCCTCAAAAATGTTCCTCATTTCTGTGTGTTTTTTTTTTCTCATTGCCTAACTGTTCCTGTTTTTGTTGTTGTCATTTTTCTGTTTTTTTTTTGCTTTGTAATTTTTCACATTTCCCAAAGTTCGTTTGGTTTCTTTTCTCTTATTTTCTCTTATTTTTTTTGTTTTGTTTTGCTGTCATGTAAATCGATTTGTGGCGTTTGGCACGCGAACTTTCGAAAATGGAAGCAAATTGAAGAGCAAATTGGTTGGATTGTGCCAGCATTTAGAAGGGTGCTTCACTCATGTTTAACTGCCAATATCGATATAGATATATATATGTAAATGTATTTATGTTTGTATGCAGAAGTGCTTCAAGTGCTGTGCCCTTAGCTGATCGGAATATAATTGCTACTGGTCAAATATATTTGGTGCTTAGTTTGTTTTATTGACAGGATGTAAAAAGAAATTATTTTTGGGCAACATTTTGCAAGTGCCAGAACGCTTGAATGTTAGCCAAAGTGTCGCACAAAGTTCCGTTACTTAAGCGTAATTCATAAATGTATTTGAAAGTATTTGAATAATTACTAGGGCAGATTATTGAGATAGAATTGAGTTTTACTTTCCGCAAATAGATAGAGCCTATGAAATATTATTCATGTTTATTTATCATTATTTTGTCATAAACAATTAAAGCAGGTTTTCTTTGTGGGAGGATTTATTATTATTTAATTGATTATATTTTTTTTGCACAGCTTTGCCTCTAAGCTTCTTCCTTTTCTATTTAAACATTGCGCTCTCGTTCTTCTTCCTCTACTTAAACTATTCGTTGCAATTATCGATCGCCTTATAGCCATCGATCTGGTTGGTTATCGATAGTTGTCTATCTATTGATGGTTAACTAATCTCATCTATTATTGGCCTTTTATAAGTCTTTTCTCTTCTTCTCTTTCGCTATTTGCCTTACAGCACAATCAAAATTCTTATATTCTATTATTACAATTGAATAATTCGTATTTTTTTCCAATAAAAATAAATAGAATTATTATAATTGAATAGTAAGAGTTTTTTTTAATATGCATGCATATAATTATATAGACATTTCCAAGCAGCAGAGAAGAGTTTCAGCTCTTCAAGTCGAGTTCTGCCAAGGAATATTTCTATAAATATATATACATATATACTATATATTGCACATATTGCAAGCTATGCTACATTTCATGTATA